CATCACTCACCACCATTCTCGACAATCATCACCAATTGCTACCACTATTGCCCACCGCCACCACTATCGCCACCACTATCACCATCACCATCTCATTCTTATATTTATTATCACTACTATCATTATCTCACCATCATCACCCATTACTATCGTCGCCCCACCACCACCGTTGCCCATTGCCACCACCTACCGCCACTCACTACCATAACTCACCACCACTCGTTGCCCACCGTCACCCACCACCATCACTACCCCACCACTACCACTACCAACAACCATCATCGTCGCCCACCACCGGCACTATTGCCACCCACAATTGTCACTACCACCACAGTCGTTGCCACCCTCCACAACTATTACCATCTTTCACCACCACCACTGTCGCCCACCATCACTACCACTGTTCACCCTCACCACAACCTGTGCTTAAATTCTATTTTCTCTCTTTTATCTTTGTAATTTAGTTTTGGAAGTGAATACAAATATATTTATTATTGACCATTTTTATTACTCTGTGTCTTCAGGCACGGGATATTAACTAGTCTATATAATAAAGTATAATACAATTCAAATCTTAAAAGATAAAAATATGACTTTTTGCTATTCGCGGTTGAGATCTTTTTAAATTTTATTTTAAAATTAATCAAACAACTAATATTAATACTCCAAATTTAATAGAAAAAACATGGTCATAAGGGTGTGTTTGGAGTGACTTTTTAAAAGTGTTTTTAATACTTATAATGTCTCATAAATACTTTAAAACAAAATAATGTTTGGAACCATCACTATCATTACCACCCCCATCGCCCCACCACCACTACCACTACCACCACCACCACCACCCCACCCCTACCATCGTTATCCCTCTCCCTTACCACCACCACCACCATCACCACTACCCACCTCCACTGTCGTCACCCCACCACCACTTCTGCCACAACCACTACCACCACTGTCATCACCACCAATGTCACCACCCTACCCATTGCCTCACCACCACCTTGCCCCAAAGTCTCACCACCCCCTGCCACTATCATTGTTGCCTCCACCATACCATTCCACCATCGCCTCGTCACTATCACCCCACCACCACCTCTGTCACAACAACCACCACCACAATCAATGCCCCTACCATAACTACCGTCGCCACCCCACAACCACCCCCACTTACCACCCAACCACCACTATCCCCACTACCCCCCACCCCCACCATCATCACTACCATTGTCACCGTCACCTCCACCCCCGTCACCATTCTACCACCACCGCCATTGTCCTACCATTACCCCTACCACCCCACCACTATCCCCACCGTCGCCACCACACCACCGCCACTATCATCCACCATCACTACCATTGCTCACTCCCACTATAATTAGTGCTTAAATTTATTTTCTTTTTTCTTTATATTTGTGATTTGATTTTAAATGTGAATATAAATATATTTACTGTTGACTATTTTTTTTTTATTATTTTGTGTTTTTAGGCACAGACAATAACTAGTTTATAAATATTATAAAGGGGTTTAGTAGTAGTATCTAGAAGAAGAGTAGAGAAGAGCGGAAGAAGTAACGTGTTTGGGTTTTGATTTAAAGTTGTTCAAAAGAAACATAGGTGTGTCACATGCAACGTATGTGATGTTTTTTCGTCCATTGTTTAAACGGAAGTTAGTGTGAGAAAGTACAACGGTTAAATGTGTGAATTTTAAGGATTAAATTGGTGAAATTAAAATTTTAAAAAGTAAAATTACAACAAGTGATCAACTTTACGGACAATCTACCCATATTCCAAATAATGGGGCTGTTATATATTCCAATATTTTATGAGATTTTATGGTATTGTCTCGTCACAGTTGAGTTTGGCTTACAAAGGTCTAACAAGGGAATTGCGTGGAACAAGTCTTGCTCTTTTTCCCATACACCCAGGGACGGAGCCCTTTCGAGCCCAAGGGGGGCGTTTGCCTCTTAAGATTTTAAATATTTGTGAGTGTGTGTGTGTGGCTTATCTATTGTATTTAAAGGATAATGGACTACAATTGATAATCAAATAGACGATAGTTTAATCTTATAGATGGGTGTCGATAAAGACACATGAATGAATGAGTTTCATTATTTGAATAAAAAAAAAGTGAAATTCCCGTAAGTTCTAACTGCAAACCTAATTTATATCATCAATAACGTAATGACTCATGAGTCGTAACAAATATTTATCATGTGAAACTAATTTTCTTATGAAAATTTATTCGCAGTTGTTGCATTCATGTCACAAATGGGGGAATAGTAGATCCTGATAGTGTCACAAATTAGTTTTTATTGTGGGAAGTTAATTTTTGAATTTTATGATCGAAATTAAATTTTATGATAATATTATATTAAGTTCATTTTGATAAATTTTATACAAATAAAAATTTGACATTAATGATGACATGCCGAATGACTTATATTATTTAATAAAATATAATATAATATAATGCCGAATGAAAATTAAACTCAGGAAAATTAAATAATGCCGAATGACTTATATTATTTAATAAAATTGCAGAAAGGTGTACGCAGGAAAATTACTTTGTTAAAATTACTTTGTTAATATTGTGGGAAAATTACTTTGTTAAAATTCGTCGTCCCTGCGCACACCTTTCTGCAAACTTTATCTTTATAATTTTCCAATTTTATTATTTCTTGGACAGCTACAGTTTCGATTCACGTTGACCTTAGGCGGTGCTACGGGCATCTGTGTTAAGTGTTAATATTTTTGGTTTGGGAGAGAGGAGTAAAGGGTCTGCTACCGAAGGATTCCTGCCTTGGTGGGGTTGCTAAGGTTGCTATGTCCATGGTTGGCGGCCTCTGCAAGTTGAAGAGGGTTAGGGATGGACTTGGGGCTATGTCTGCAAGTTGAATGGGGTTAAGGGTTGCCGGGTTGCTATTTACAGACGAGAATAGGTGGACTGTGCTGGTTGAGAGGTGATTGGGCGTGGGTAGGTGTGGTGGGGTTGAGATAGGTTTTTAGATTAAGCAATGCTGATCAAATTTTAAGATTAAATGACATGACAATTGACTTAACATTCTTTATTTGGTGTCATGTTATTTGAGTCTCAATAAAAATTCTAAATAATATTCTGTCAGGTTATTTGTGTTCTAAATTTAGTTCTAAAATTTGATCAACATTAATACAATTAAAAGAAAGATATACCCTTCAATCTCTGTATATTTCAAAAAAACCAAACACACGCACGCACAAAAACCGATGGGGTGATACAATAACTACCATTGAAATGCTTTCAAGTTGGTGGGGGTATTGAAATGCCGGAAAGAATTTGGAATGGGGCATAGTTTGAATGAGACCACGACTTCGTGTCAACCATCACCGGCTCTAATTGAATACTCTTTTTTAAAAATTTACATACATACTAATTGAGAAGTCTAACTAAAATATACACTATATTACTCAGTTGGATGAGTAGTTGTTATCGCTCTAAACCCAACTTTTATATTTGAGCAATCACATCTGTGACAATGGCAAAAATGTAATTAAAGAGAATTTCATAGTTTAATTTTATACATTAAAGCCTAAATTTCTCCCGGGGGGGTTGAACAGGCATGTTCTAAAGATTGTCCAGAAAATGACACTTGATTAGGACAGAGTCCTATTATATCAATTTTTTCAAAAAAAAAAAAAATACAATTCTAGAGGTTTATGTGCAGTACTATGCATTAGAAATACTTTCTCTATGAATGATGGGGCAGGAAGAGACCAAAAAAAAAAATACCCATGGGAGAGGGAGTTGGATTGTCTGTTTTAGTACTTGTCCTAAATTATATTAGTCATTATTTAATAAAGTAAAACATCATACCAGTATATCATGCTCCCGCTTATACCAAGATTTGAGGGACGCAACTAATAGCAATCCCAATAATGTTAAATTCATGCAAGAGCCAAAGGAATCACACTGGCGGGCTGTCAAAAGAATCCTAGGCTACCTCAAGCACACTGTTTCTTACAGTCTCATAATATCCAAACAATCACAGTTTCAATTTCAAGCATTCACAGATGCGGATTGGGCTGGCAACAGGGATGACCGTAGATCAATAGAGTCTTATTGTGTTTTTCTTGGTAATAACCTAATTTCATGGAGTTGTAAGCAACAACAGACTGTGGCATGCAGTAGTACCGAGGCTAAACACAAATCACTAGCTAATACTGTTACCGAAGTGCATAGGCTTCAGTCTGTTACTCGTGAATTAGGTCTTTCCCTTAGACAACCACCAATACTATACTGCAACAATATTGGAGCCACATATTTGTCTGCAAATCCGGTGTTTCATGCAAGCACGAAACACATTGAAATTAATTTTCATTTTGTCAGGGACCAAGTTACTTGAGGTACTTTACGGGTCAAGTTCATCTCATCCAAGGATCAACTACCAGATTTGCTGACCAAAGCTCTATCCTGGAATCGTTATAAACATCTCTGACACAATCTCAATGTCCGAGATCTCCCCTTGAGATTGTGGGGGCGTGTTGAAGAACTATTCAAGAGGAATTCAATTTGTGATAACTCTGGAATAGAAGATAATGATACGACAAAGCTTGTTCTTGATAACTTTCCACTGCCAGCAACCATCTGAAGAATTCAAACTCATTCAAATCTCTATCTATTTCGTAGGAAATATCATAGGAATACTGGCGTACACAAGTGCTATAAAAGCAGTGTAAAGTTAAACGAAAACTGTGTATAAAAATACAAAACCTGTTCAAACTCATCTTGTTTTATTTTCTATAAATAAGAAGTTTCAAAAATTTTATTTATATTCCAACAATTAACCTTAAGAACATAGACAATTGAGGACACTAGTCCATTGAATCCTCATTTCTGAAACAATAATAGTGCTTATATCTAGTTCATGAAATAAATTACAGCACAAAGTTCTGTATATTATTATTCATGTTATACGTCAAGAAAGATCCGATTACACAATATAATATCAATATAAAAATTTGTATTAGAAGAATGTTGTAACAAATGCAATTGCTAAGCCAAGGAGGAAGGACAGATCAGTGGCTGCTATTCTTGGAGCTCCGTTGTCACTGTTTCCGGATCCTAGGGAAGTACCACCGCCTGGTTAAGAAAATAGATATGCAAATCAAAGGAATTTTGAGAAAATTAGTACAAAAAAGCCCTTAACATATAGTATTACGACTATATGTCCTGTTCAAGCCTGTGTAGTTTACATCTCATACATTCTGTCTCCTAGCCTTTCTCAGATTAATGAATGAGTTAACACGAAACCACTTATGCACAACACGAACCCGACTACTAATCAGGTATTAGTTGAACAAATTTGACAAGATAGTTTAGGCACGAAAATTCGAATCTAACGTAGCACGATCCATTGCCTGACAAAATTTCCAGTCAGCAACATTTCCTTGAAGCAACTGAGAGAACTTCACCACACATTGTGTGAAACAATTTGAAAATGATAAAAATGAATTGCATAAGTTAAATCGAGGAGGCCGGAGAAGTTACCGGATGGTGCAGGCCCTTCAGGTGACGGAGACGGTGCCACTGGGACTCCGTTAGCTGCAGAATACAAGAGAAAAAGAACTGAGCACAATGACTTAAATTGATAGATTTTCCCGCAAAAGCTACCTTCAGTGAACTGCATTTCAAAATGTGGTCAACCATTTCGAACCCATTTGGGGTCGGGGTGTCCATGGGTGGGGTTAACCCAAGAGTTACATTACCAAGCCCAAAAAAATAGGCCCAATCTTTGATAGACTATAATTGGCCCAATAGACCCGATAATTGACTCGTTCAAGCTCGAACCTATAATCTTCCTAGAGAAGACTTGAGTTTGTCCTCAAACCTATTACCTAGCTCGAACCCGGCCCATGAGCCCACCCACAAAAATCCATTAAAACTTGGCCCAATAGTCCGTCCGTCGTTCCACTCCAATTGTTTGGAAAAACAGTTGACCACTGAAAATTTAAAAGTTTGGTAGCAATTTATGACTCTACTTTATTTAAATAAAATTATTTATTATTTATTATTTGTTTATTTTTGACTTTATTTTTAATTTAAAAATATTAAGTTGAATTTTTTTTAAATAAAATTGTATACATATATAAAAAAGTTTGTCTAGTGAGTGACAGGTTGGACTCTGAGTAGCTTATCCCTACCCAAAGTCTTATCCAACCCAGCCAATAACTCACCTGAATAAGGGCTTAGCCTACTTTACCCAGGCCTAATCAAAAAATTTCATAAAATTAACTCAGCTTATAGACACCCCTATATATAACAAGATTCGTGTCATGTTGGTTGTGTGTTGTNGGACTCTGAGTAGCTTATCCCTACCCAAAGTCTTATCCAATCCAACCAATAACTCACCTGAATAAGGGCTTAGCCTACTTTACCCAAGCCTAACCAAAAAATTTCATAAACTTAACTCAGCTTATAGACACCCCTATATATAACAAGATTCGTGTCATGTTGGTTGTGTGTTGTTTATTTATTTTTTTGGGTAAATTTGCATTGTGTACTTGATATATCATTATCATTGTTTATTTTTTTGTGAAAATAATCCACATAACATATCATTATCATTGTTTATTTTTTTGCGAAAATAATCCACATAACGAAATTCATATTTATACATTTATTAATGACTTTAATTATTCATTTTGATTATGACCCGATTTCATTAGAACTACTTAGGTTTGTATAAAATTTTGCAAATCTTTTTAAGAATTATCAACTCCATTGTCACAACATCATGGTCGAATTGTACTTGGGCAATTCTCTTCCAAATTCCATTCAAACTTAAGGGCTGTTACCAGACAATCATGCCGTGACGGGCGTTAAGCTGGACCACCACCCACCAATCATTTCTTTTCCTGTTTGTGACCGTTCCATAATGTCGTAGTTTGATTGAGAGATGGTCATTCACACAGTGGCCCGCTAAGGAGGGAAATTTCCTCTAACATATTACCTATAATAAATTTAAATGCGAGTCATAGTATATTAAGTAGATCTTTCAATAATATATTTATAAATAATTTATTGAAAAATAAAAGAAAAATATTGAAATAGGATTAGAATTTCACAAAGGACGAGCAAACCATTGACAATATGGTTAGTTTCGTACATTTTGATAAAAGAACTTTTTAAAAAAAATTGGGATGGTCGCGTTGATAATATCTAATCGTATAACCTAGGAAAAATTGCTTTAAATAAATATAAGCAAAAAAAAAAAGTTTAGATTACATATCTTATATCTCAACTATGGTGCACAACTTTTCTAGTACTGTTGGGTAGCAATTCTTATTTTGTAGCACAATGTTTTTTTGTGTATTCTTGATTAAAACATGCACAAAAAAACACACCACAGACAGCTGTCTTAAACTAGAGGACAAACAATTCAAAACAGGCAGAAGTTATCTTGATAGTGGTGAAGTTATTTGCAGCAGAGAGAGAGAATCTCACCCGTCAAATACAATGAAAATCCAAAATGAGATTGGACCCATAAAAGAAGAAGATCACCAGAGAGAGAAAAGGTCACATGCAACAAGATCAGCAGATGATCATGTTAAAAGAGCTGGTTTTGTTATACCCATTAAAGTGATGGTTAAAGTTTGTAAATCTCTTGTGAGAATTGGAGTTGTTATGTCTTTAGGAATATATTAATCAGATGTGGAATTGACACAAAAAATTCTGATGTATTGCGTTTAGTCTTTTAATGGATTGGAGACATAATTGGTTGATTTGCCAAATTTATTGATAGATGTGTCGATAACTGTGCACAACTTCTGCACAGGCTCATCACATACGACAAATTTAACATGACTGTAAGTCAATTTTAACTTAGTTACCATACTAACTTAACACAANTTTTGTATAAAATTTTGCAAATCTTTTTAAGAATTATCAACTCCATTGTCACAACATCGTGGTCGAATTGTACTTGGGCAATTCTCTTCCAAATTCGATTCAAACTTAAGGGCTGTTACCAGACAATCATGCCGTGACGGGCGTTAAGCTGGACNGTTTGTATAAAATTTTGCAAATCTTTTTAAGAATTATCAACTCCATTGTCACAACATCATGGTCGAATTGTACTTGGGCAATTCTCTTCCAAATTCCATTCAAACTTAAGGGCTGTTACCAGACAATCATGCCGTGACGGGCGTTAAGCTGGACCACCACCCACCAATCATTTCTTTTCCTGTTTGTGACCGTTCCATAATGTCGTAGTTTGATTGAGAGATGGTCATTCACACAGTGGCCCGCTAAGGAGGGAAATTTCCTCTAACATATTACCTATAATAAATTTAAATGCGAGTCATAGTATATTAAGTAGATCTTTCAATAATATATTTATAAATAATTTATTGAAAAATAAAAGAAAAATATTGAAATAGGATTAGAATTTCACAAAGGACGAGCAAACCATTGACAATATGGTTAGTTTCGTACATTTTGATAAAAGAACTTTTTAAAAAAAATTGGGATGGTCGCGTTGATAATATCTAATCGTATAACCTAGGAAAAATTGCTTTAAATAAATATAAGCAAAAAAAAAAAGTTTAGATTACATATCTTATATCTCAACTATGGTGCACAACTTTTCTAGTACTGTTGGGTAGCAATTCTTATTTTGTAGCACAATGTTTTTTTGTGTATTCTTGATTAAAACATGCACAAAAAAACACACCACAGACAGCTGTCTTAAACTAGAGGACAAACAATTCAAAACAGGCAGAAGTTATCTTGATAGTGGTGAAGTTATTTGCAGCAGAGAGAGAGAATCTCACCCGTCAAATACAATGAAAATCCAAAATGAGATTGGACCCATAAAAGAAGAAGATCACCAGAGAGAGAAAAGGTCACATGCAACAAGATCAGCAGATGATCATGTTAAAAGAGCTGGTTTTGTTATACCCATTAAAGTGATGGTTAAAGTTTGTAAATCTCTTGTGAGAATTGGAGTTGTTATGTCTTTAGGAATATATTAATCAGATGTGGAATTGACACAAAAAATTCTGATGTATTGCGTTTAGTCTTTTAATGGATTGGAGACATAATTGGTTGATTTGCCAAATTTATTGATAGATGTGTCGATAACTGTGCACAACTTCTGCACAGGCTCATCACATACGACAAATTTAACATGACTGTAAGTCAATTTTAACTTAGTTACCATACTAACTTAACACAACTTAATTCAAGCAATGATGACGAAAACATATGCACTCTCATAATTAACCATCATATTCATTAGGTACTATTAGTGGTTCTTTGGATCCCCTATCATATTCAGTGGGATCTAATTGGACAAGAATTAGTTCAGTGAAATTTAAGAGAATTCAAATTTTGATCATTAAAATTTGCAAATTCAATCTTAGACATTTGAGTTTAAGATTTTTCAAATCCTACGGCACGCCACCGGATTAGCAGTGTGGTCTATTGACTCAAATGTTATCCGGGGTTGCTTCTTCAAGACTTTGATTCTAGGTCAGAAATTCAAACTGTATCCCAAAATATCAAATGAGTGTCTGTGTGAGAGAGAAAGAGAGAGAGAACCTGAGCAGGAACTAAGAGGTGGTGTGCTGACACCACAAACAGAAGGAAGCTTGAGTGCCCTTTTCACATCAATTTGGACTCCGAAGCTATCAGACTTCCCAAGCAGCTGGCACAAACAGATGGGTTGGCTCTCCACCAACCCCGCCAGCTCCGGGCAACACCCTTTTTCCGGCTTCGTCAGGTTGCTTCCGGCCTCCACAAAACTCAGGCAGTCCGACGCGTTTAGCAAATAACTCGTACAATCCAATGACGGCCCCGGCGCCGCCACAGCCGACGGTGGTGATGGCCCTGGCGCGGCCGCAGGCGATTGTGCTTTGGTACTGGGAAGTGTCATTAGAACCACCGCCGTGGCCAGGAGAGTCCATGCAATAATGGTGGTTTTGGTGGTGGCCATTGATGTGGTTTATGTTTTTGTTACAATGGGTTTGAGTAGAGAAGATAGGGGAGAGGAGAAGGGGATTAGTAGAACAGTTCGAGCATTTGTCTTCTAATAAATGAAAAGAGATCCGAATATAATTTATCCCTATTTTTTTTTTTTTGGTTCAATGTGATCTAACCATCATAGGTAGTGAGGCGAAAGCACTTTTTTTTTTTCTTTCTGTTCACACATGTACTATTAAGGTAATTTATATATAATAAAATAATTTATAATTCAAATTTTAAAAGTAAATAAAATGACTTTTACTATTCGTAGTTGAGATCGCTTTAAATTTTACTTTAGAACTAATCTAACGGCTAATATTAACATCTTAAATTTAATAAGAAATATAGACCCATATAGATGTGTTTAAAGTGACTTTTTAAAAGTACTTCTACAAATTATTTCTTATAAATATATATTTTTTTAAAAATAGTATTTAAAACCGTCTCACCACAACCTCTATCACCATCGCCGCCACCGCCGCCACCACCGTCACCATCACCACCACCACTACCACCGTCACCACTACTGTCGCCGCCACCCCCACCGCTACCCCCACCACCACCGCCGTCGCCGCCACCTCCACCCCCACCATTGCCACCACTAACACAGTCATTATCACCTACCACAACCATCACCGTCTCTTACCCACTACCTCTCACCTCCACTACAAATCGATGCTTAAATTATTTTATCTCTTATCTATATTTGTGATTTGATTTTAAATATGAATACAAATATATTTTTTATTTTTTATTTTTTATTATTCTGTGTCTTCAGGCACAGACAACAACTAGTATACCAATATTATAAGGAAAAATTAGAATGAGAACNCGATGCTTAAATTATTTTATCTCTTATCTATATTTGTGATTTGATTTTAGATATGAATACAAATATATTTATTATTTTTTATTTTTTATTTTTCTGTGTCTTCAGGCACAGACAACAACTAGTATACCAATATTATAAGGAAAAATTAGAATGAGAACCCCCTGTTATTTTTTATATATTCACTGCACCCTTTCTTTTCTCAAATTACACTAACCTCTTAAGATGTGATAAATTGTAGCAGATTTTTCCTCCAATCATATTTAATCGATCTAATAACCTGAACTACTTATTTTACCCTTGAGTGACTAAACCAATGTTTGACCACGATTTTTAGTTACTTTAAATTGGACAATCAAATTTGTCAATATATACAAAAAAAAACAATTAATTAGAATTGTTCTATTGCAAACCACATCGGATTGTCTAATTTATCAATACCAAAATTTCACTAAAAGTATTGCTAAATTTTTTTAAGTTGATTAGGTGGACAAAGTTTTGGAGAATTTGTTAGATTTTTTGGAAAAATTTTGGAGAATGAATAAAGAAGCAGATGTTTGGGTAATTGTTTTTATTAGAATTGATAGATCCAGCGACCTTATTTTGTCTACATGAGCAAATTTTAGACTAACTATTTCTTGTCATATGTATTGGCAAGCTTGATCATCTAATTTTTTTTTCTATAAGAGAGAAAATATGAGGGTAAAATAAGTAATTCAAGCCATTAATTAGATTAAATTTGACAAAAGGGGCAGTCTGTTACAAGTTATGGTGTTCTATAGGATTCAGTGTAATTTAAAAACAAGGGAGTGCAGTGAAAAGGTAAAAAACTAGAAGGGTTGTTATGTAATTATTTCATATTATAGCATATTGCAAAATTGTTTTTTGGACACATTGAAACAAGGGAGGGGAGACGATGGAGAAAATATTGGATGTAGCAGTGATGCTATGTCCAAATTGCTATGTTCACACTGGAATTAAGGTATTCACGATAGATAAATCTTTCATACTTAGATTTTAAAGAGTTGTCAATTTTTGAACTCAAGACGTTTGAGTTTATAATTCGTTCATATTGCTGTTTGAACTATCCCTTAACAAATCAATATGTAAGCAGGTAGACTCTATTTAATTTAGTAACTACTCTATCCATGTATGAAAATAATTACCAAGTAAAATTTACTTTGTTCCATTATAAATTTATTATTAAATAATTATACCATCTCTGAATTACAAATGAAGCTACACAGCAACTAAGGTGTAACCTTTGTCCTAGATAAGAGAGAACTTGCACAACAAGTTGTAGAAAAAGAAACCTAAAGTGGTGAACAACTATTTCGGAATGTAACGGGTGACTACTAGGCTCAAACGCAACCCCTTTGAAAGGTTTTTTTTTTGGTCAATGCTACAATCTAATCAAAATTTATCGGTAACATGGGATCCACTAGCATAAAAAACTTCTGTTTGAATGCACGGCAAGTGATGTGAAATTTATATCTAGAAGGCATACAGGCATTTCATAAAACTAGTAAATAAGAAGCAACCAAAGACTGTGATCTGCTACCTAAATTTCTAACCCATGTGAGGAAAGGGCCCACAAAATTGTTCTCCATAAGTTATTGCAGTGTGTGGTGTTATTGGGAGCTGGTAATGAATGGGCACCTTGATGTCTAATGAATGTAGAAAGCGTGTATTATTATGGATGAAACAGTTGCCAACTTTCAATGAACAAGTCTAACATGGAATCCATGAGAGTTGTGTCTTGTATTGTATTCTTCATGCACCTACTTGGAATTCTTTCTATCCTTTTCTGTTAATGTAAACAAAAAAGTCGTACCAAATGCCCAAAATTTCCATCATCTATGGCGGGTATATGAGAAGTAAATAATAGGCATCATTACTACTAATTGATTAATCGAGTCGAACTTGCAAACAATTATTTGAGCAAATAAACACTTGCCAGTGTAGTACCAAGTCTAACTTAAGTTTTTTTAATTACACTAGGGGACAAGAATAAGCATGTGTATCTTTATGTTAAGAGATGTTTTTCAACATGTAACTGTTAAAAATTTAATTAGTTGAACGATGAATAATTTTTTGAGGAGCAATTTCATTGTGCACAAAAATACTTGAGGCCTCAGGCAAAAATTTTAGATGAGTCCCTAAATTATCTATAGGCGAATAATTTGGTTATTTTTTTAATTTTAAATATTTAAATTCATATATTTTAGTAGGTATATTTAAGGTCGAAAACAACTAGCAAAACAACACACTATGTGAATGATTATTTTAAGATTAAGATTATCTTAAAAAAATTTAATTCAAAGTTATGGAGAATTCAAATAAAATGAGATAGCAGAGTCTCATAATTTTTTGTAGAGTAATATGGTGCAATATATATATATATTTTTTTTTTTTTTTTTTTTTGAATGTACAAATATTTATTTGGGAACTTGAAAATAAAATTAGAGTTAATGATACCTAAAATTAAAAGCCTAACAATAAATTTAAGTCTAATTAAATGTCTATTTAATAACCTATATCCAATCTAAAATATGTATATATTTTTATATGAATATTAAAGAAATTAACTAATTATTTTAAAAAATTAATTAAAATTAGTTATAATTTATTAAATTTTTGTTAAATTATGCTATTTCAATTGGATTGGATTTAGTTCAGACTTTTAAGTTTAAATTTAGATCAATTAAAATCCAATTCAAATTCGATCTATTGACATACCTAAGCTAAGGAATAATTATTTTTCTTTTGTCTTAAGTTCACAGAAGAATTTGAATTGAGAATCGAAAACCCGGCTTCATATTATTCTCTTCTTACCAACAAAAGTTAATATGGAATGAGTAATACTATTTAGACTAAACAAATTGACTTAATTTATTAACTTAATAATATGACAGTGATATAGTTTAATAGAATTATTGTGATTGTAATTACTCTATTTTTTTAATCGGAACTTTATTAATTGATATATCATTAGGTCAATAAATTAAATCGATTTTTTGAGGTTCCAATAACGTTACTCATATAGAATAAAAAAAAATATAGGAGACAATCGTATTAGAGACGTTATCATTAATTCTTGAATGATTTCTAAGAGGTGGTTCGAATTAATAGTCATTTATTTAATATTACAGCTAAGAAGTTGAATTCTTAACTTATAAAAGTACAACAACAGTAAGAATTAATCTAATATTTATTTGCTTTGATCCAATGGTATAAAATTTATTCCAAATTTTTTTTTTGCCCAAAAACATTAATGTTTTTGCATGATCCTCAATGTCAAACAATTTTATCAATCCACACTTACCTCTCTCTTCATTTTAATTTTAAAATACGTAATTAAAAAATTAAATTGTTATTTAAAATATAAATATTATAAGATCAGTTCGATTTTTTATTTGTATAGTATCTTTAAACACAAGATTATTGCAAGTTAATGTACATCTTGGGTAAGTGCTGTGACCAACAATTTTATATAATCGAGTGGAATATACATATCCAGCTGCTGGTGATGCTGTCTGATCAGTATTATTCCAAGCATGTTCCATTTCTAGGTGAAGTTACCAAGAGAATAGAATTGTTTTATTCATCTTAATCTCAGTACTTAGGCGGCCATAACCATCTGCTTTTCACTTTGTAGGCCTGCTTTTCCCCGCGTAAATTATCTATACATCCTCTATCCTCGGCGGCTTCAGTGTTCTTTACGTTACTGTAGGTATGCTTCCTTCATTTGTCTTCATATACCATTTACATTCAGCATTGTCACCACTTTGCTTCGACACTTTTTTTTTCCATGTCTTTCCCAATGAAATGTTTCAGAAAAATGCATACGTATATGTGTGTGCTCGTTTGTGCGGTAATCGAGAATTCAAGAAAGTATCACTTATGTTAGGGGTAGAGAGGGAAGGATGATCAAGTTTGCAAAAATGTATTGCACAATTATCTATAAAAAGTGGTAATCAAGATGTGCCAACAAGATAGAATTCAACTTATCTTAGGCTTGGAAGTGTTTTATTATACGTTTTGTCACTATCAATTGATTGATACTAACTTCCGAACATTGTCCATTACAAGAGGAATGGAACATGAATGAAATGATAGCAAAGTTTCTCAAACTTTTTCAT